TATATCAAAGATGTATGCTGTAGTTACGATTTAAACCAGTCTTGTTATGCCCTTAAGGTCATGCGCATTGTCTATTGTGACAATATGCTCAAGTTTTATAAGATTTGACATGGACAGAGATATCAAATTTTAATGTAATGTAAATATGAGCCACATTAATAAATTATTAATCTTTATTTTATATTTTAACAGTATTTTTTAAAATAAAGTAATATCAGTCATATACGAGGCCTATGTCTAGACATAGGCCTCGTTGTTTTTACATCTTTTATTATATATTTTACAGATAAAATTTGTAATACGTAATTTAATATGTCTTTTTTCAATTACAGATGGCCACTTTACACTTCATCGTTCTTTTTGTAGCAGCATTCGTTGCAATTGAAGCTCAGAGACCATTTTACGCTGGTTCACGACCGATAGGATATCCAGAAGTTGAAGGCAATGCGCTTGGTAATAGATTCGGCGAAGACGCAGATGCTCCGATCGAAGCGAGAGGTGATGGAAATTTGATAAACAGATTCAACAGTATGCCATTAGACAACAGACCTTTCTGGTATATCAATTGGCGTGCGTATGACAACTTACGAAGAAATCAACAGACTTGGCCGATTAGTCAGAATGGATTCATCCATAGAATTTAAACACTGAAAGACAGAATTTAAAATTGCATTTATTATGAAATTAGAACAGTGTCGAAAAGTGAAGATCTCAAAAGGTAAACAGCCCAGTAATTGACCAGTTAGAGCCTATAAGGGATATAGAAATATAAAGTTAATTTACATTGTTGCATCTTGTGTCTGTACATTTTAATGTTAGATGTAAAAATGTGTGAATCAACTCAATCAGATGTGTGTTAATCAGTTTTTATTTAACTTGTATTAAATTAAGAAACGAAACCAAAAATATTTAAGCTTCTTTTAGATAAATTTAACGATTTTTTTTTATTTGTATTGTAATTGAAAGTGAATAAACATATCTTTTTTTTATATTTTTTGTTGTTTTATCATCCCACTGTATATCAACAAAGAATTACTAGTTGAAATTATTATTCATTCAATCACTATATTCTAAAATAAACAAAGTTCACAAAGAACATCAGCTTGTAATAGTTCTACTGATCATAGTTCTTCTTCAATTCCTTCCAAAATGATTTAAATATAATACTATAATAAGTTGAAGAGCGGACATTACTAGCATTTTCCTTTAAATATTTCAATCATAATCATCAGTAGCGTATCAATTTTTTTTTAAATCATAAGGTGGCAAACGAGCGAGCGGCCACCAGAAATCGCTGAAATAGCGAAGTGACCGTTGCCGATAGACATACGCAATTGCATATGCCTTGCCTACCTTTAATCAACGGAGTAGATGCACAGAAAGAAAATATTTTTCCTTCCCATGCATCCTCTCTTCCGGAAAGTCCACTTTCACTTCTCATCCTTTCCTTATACGGAAAAAGGTGGGAAGGGAAAGAGGACTAAATTAGGCCTCCGGGACACACTCATCAGACGAAACGCGGAATTGCTTCCACTTCACGCCTGTCTTCTGTGTGGTCGTGGTATTTCACCGGGCGAGCCGGGCCAATTCGTGCGAAGATGTTAAAGCGTTACTACCACTGTTAAATGTCACTAGACTTGATTAAAAAATACAGTTATTTTTGGCGTCCCCTCTATACAAGTTAAATGTCTGCATTCGGCATCATGCCGTCTTGCAGCGGTCATTGACATGTTATAATCAAATTGCTTTACAATGTTTAGCATAAAAAGAAGTAGGAAATAAAAAAGATGTTATTGACTAACATGACAGTTCTTTAGCCTACATTTATTAATAACATTGCGGTAAAATGTTATTGTCGTATAAGTTCATCGTTTTACAATAAAACAATTAATATAAAGTTGTTTACAATTATTTCTCCAACGAGTAATAATAAATTAAATTGTACTTAACGGATATCTTGTGTGAGACAGAGGACATGGTAATATCATATTCTCTTATTTCATCACCAGCTTAACATAGTCCCCGTTGAGGAGCCTACACTAAGTCAGGACTGACTAAGCCATTGTCAACCACACTGGCCCAGTACGAGTTGGTAGACACATCTTTGAATTTCATCGCAGATATGTTGCATCACGATGTTTTCCTTCACTGTAAGAATGTCGGATAATGTACATATGTAAATCGAAAACACATTGATACATGGCGGAATTAGAACTCCGGACCTGCAGATTACAAGTCAATTGCTTTTACCTATGAGCCACAGACGCTTACTACCGTCTTGTTTATGATCGTTTTAATTACTTAAAAGAAGAACTATACTGTGCGACGATATCGCAGTGGTTAAACGTTTGAATTGAATCTAAAGTGTCGGGTTCGATTCATATACAAATGTGATGTTCGATATCTAATATACTTTTATTCGAAGTTATTACGGTGCTTCAACGATTTGACAACTCAAGGAATTGACTACACAGACAGACAGTCATTTTAAAGATTGGTTTTTGTTATAAGCTTCGCAAACACAAAATTATATTTCTAAACGTATTTTCGAAAGATGCAATTTGTTTTTAGATAATTCATACAAACACTACAATTTAATTGTATTAAAAAAATTGTAACGAAAGCTATAGGTTTAAGTTTTAAATGGATCAACTTTGAACTAAAGCTGTGGTATCATCAATTTACGAATAAAAAATGAAACATCCAATTATGATTAATGACTTTGGTTGAATATAAAACCTCAATTACTCTTTGTTATAAAAAAATAAATTAGCTTGTGGTTTTTCAAACAAATGCCAGGCTAATCGGCCATATTTATTCTGCACCTAAACAGTGCAAAGAAGCAAAAAATTAGCTTGAACGAGTTTAATGGATATAATTTCGGATTGATTTCTTATGGTCAGGGAAATATATTATTTTATGAAATAAGAATGAATGATGCGTGGTGTGTCCAATGCTGACATCTCTTTCATCCTTTACGTGTGCATAATTATTTTCAATCCCTTTCTTTAATCGATCTTAAGAATCGATTATTTGGTTTGGCTGTAAGTAAATCACCACTACAAGTAAATCTTTCAAATTATTTTCCCGCTTTTTTTTTATTTATTTAAATCATCGTATACCTATGTATACATAATTTACATAATCAAAGGCTCAATACCCTCCAAACTAATATGAGGCAATTGTAAACTGTCCCATTCTTAAAAAAAAAAATTAAAACCGTATTACAAATGTCAAATTTCTTATACACAATAAAACCAACAAGCTAACTGGTAATCCTTTTGTGGATGTCGGTTAATAAAGATCATATCTTTGCAAATGTTATAAGAGGTGAGTCAAATTCTTAAACGTTCATGTTATGACGCACGTCACGATAGCAAAATGCCGTGCAATTGTCTACGTAGGTCTTATTCCCTATGACGTATGCAGAAAATCTTCAAGTATTTTTACAGTCGTAATATAAAATACAGTAAAATACATAAAAAATAACCCGCTCATTATTATATAACAAAAAAAAAGTGTCTTGATAGACTGATAAGGGTTCCGTTTTTTTCATTTCAAAATGTGTGGCGTCTTCAAGAAATATTTTCGCCTTGTGTTAGATGAGAAAAAGATTATGGATATTTAATTAAATGGTGCGAGTTTGGGTTTCAAGAGTTGCAGCAGACGGCAAACGGTAACAGCTGGCGGAGATGGCATGTGCCGCGACAGTTGTAGTCAAATTAATACTGCTACGTCATGCTGTCTGCCGTTGCGGGACATGCCATCGGCGCTGTGTTGCCTTTTGTCTATCCAACTCTCGTTGACATTTACTACAGTAATTCTTCGTTTGCGAGTGTTTATGTATTGTTTATCAAACATTGGTTTACAAAGACTAGAAGATTGACTACTAAAAGCATTCAGAAACAACATCTATTGCATAAATGGGCCGACTTGTCCGGTGCAATACCATGACCACACAAAACAGCCGTCAAATGGAAGTAACACCGATGTTTTTTTTTAAATATTAGCAGATTTTTTGTAAATTTACTAATATTTCTTTTACCATTCCAATTAAGCTCTAGGCTTGTGCTAGGATATGGTTTACGACAATAGTCGAATGGCGGGATTCGAACCCCCGACCACATGATCGGAAAACCGTACACTTAACCATTAGGCTATTGACGCTTTCGTATTTTGATTGAGTGCATTGCTTGAGTTGTCCCAATTTTAGTCCTCCGGGATTTCACGTTTGAAAATTGCAGGTGGAATCGTTAGCACTGAATGTGTTAATAATATTAGAAAGCATTGCGGTGAGATGACCTCTAAGTATATTTATATTCCTTATCACCACAGCTTACATTATTCCTGTATTTCGTATTACTAATGACGTGTTAACATGGAATAAATGACAATAACTTTTTTAAGAGCTAGACGAAAAACCGCTAACGCTTCTCTAACTTAAAAATGACTCACTCAAATGATTGGAAAATAAAAAACTGCCTAAAGCACATGGATCTAGAATTCTTACAATAAATAAATGCAAGTCTTTATGCGAGCTTTTCGTGCAGCATCTTACGTCAGTAACCGGAACGATGAGTATCCCCGCGGAAGGTTAGTCTCTTACAAGTGGGATTTTACGTTGTAATAAGAAACTACTAGAATGGACTTTATATAAAATGTTATTAGGTCAATATGATAAAGTTGCTCTTAATTTCTTAGAAACGATAAAAATTTAAAATGATAAATAAACTGTGAGATTATTTTTTTTCTTTCTTCTTAAAAAAATATCGGTTTAAGTAAAATTTTTATAAAAACATTTCCTTATTGAGAATTTATACAAGTCCAATTTAAGAAAATACACAAAAATTGTGCAATAAATGAAATAAATATAAAAACATTTAATTTTATAAAGTTTACGTCAGTGGAATGTCTATGGTTATTTAGTACTATGTTACTACGTAGTATGTTCAGGTGAGGAGTGCCGGAGATTTGTATTTATAGTAACTCAGTGCATACAAGCTTCACACAACTTCAAGGCAATCCGTTAACAACAGACGTCCATTAACAAGTAACAACCGATTTACATCTACGCTTAATACAGGTAAATATTTATGTTACAAATAAAGAGGTTAATCTTTTTAATATTTTGTATTAAAACATAAGACAAGAAGGTTTAATAACCGGCAAAGTTTATTACTTTCTTTGTTACGTGATACATGATTATACTCTTACTAATATTATAAATGCGAATGTTTATATGGATGGATGTTTGTTTGAAGGTATCTGTACTACGACTCAAAGGATCTTGCTGAAATTTGTCATATATGTAGAACATATTGTGGAAGAACACATAGGCTATTTATTAAGTTTTTTTTATTCCGCGCGGAATGAGTCGCGGGCGAGAGTTATTTGTAATGTATAGTTGTTGAGATGCAATAATAGACAATAGAAAATATTCAGGTAGAAATAATAGGCTTTTCGGAATAAGCCAACCAACTAATAACTTATTGATTTTCGTTGCTCGTTACCAACCAGCTGAAATTATTGTGTCTATAAAACATTCTAAGGAATACGAATCGTATGACACTTCAATCTTCAAAACCCGTCTAGGCATTTAGGCTAGGCATACCTGTCAAATGAAACCTAATATCTAAAGCTTTTGTTTCTCTTTCAGACACCATGCATTCCATCAAGTTCTTTGTATTCCTGGCTGTCATCATCTTAAGCGAAGCTCAGAGGCCATTTTACGCTGGTTCAAGACCAATCGGATATCCTGAAACAGCATCTAATAGTCTTCTACTCAACCGTTTCGGAGAAAATGAAGGTCCACTCGAAGCAAGGGGTGACGGAGATCTGGTGAACAGATTGAACCAAATGCCGTTGGATAAGAGACCATTCTGGTTTATCAATGCTCAAGCTTATGACGAATTGAGGAAGAATCCACAAACTTATCCTGTAGCTCAGAATTCTTTTGCTAACAAAAATTGAAAAGATACCGGCCAGTTGGATTTGTGTTGAAATTCTAAATTCAATGAAAAAATGAGAAAGCGGAAAACGGACGATATTCGTGTATTACTTGTTTATGAGTATTATTAAAATGTGATACAAATACCAATATTATAGTTTTTAAATGTGTTTAATTTATTAATTTTTTTTTTTTTAAATATGTATGTCATTTTCCTTTAGAAAGCTTGTCCTTGTTCTTTAAGCTTTCATCATGTAACAAATGGTGAATACGTTAATTATTATTTACTTATCTCTCTTTAACATAATTAAGTTGTAAAATATAAGTTTATAAAAGTCACCAAAAAATTTTATCAAACAATTTTTGAGAATTCAACCATTTACCAAACGATAACGATTTAAAACTTGGAACATTTTCCATCTCCTACACTATTCGCTTTTGTAAAATCCAGTTCAGTAGTTAACGAAGCGTAGGAAAGGCTATTTCTCAATTCACCTCAGTTACCAGAGTTCTACAAATTCTTCATGCATATACATACTTCTTATGCATTTAAATGAAATTTACACTATCAGAAACGAAATCCAAAAGATTCAAGGATTGACTACATTAAATCTTACTAATATTATAAATGCGAATGTTTGGATGGATGTTTGTTTGAAGGAATCTCGAGAACTCTATGGATCTGGCTGAAATTTGGTATAGATGTAGAACATAGTCTGGCCATTAATTTTTTTTTATTCCGCAAAGACGGAGTCGCGGGCGACAGCTATACTTTGTGTATTTACAAATTGTGTTAAATATCCATATTATAGTATCATATGTTTTATGTTTCTTTTCCCTATTAAAAAGTAATACAAATAGTGGTCAAAGAACAATCATTATGATATTCTGATGCAGATCACGATTTTTGTCAGAGTTATAAATTTTATATCACGAACGAATGAACGACTACAGCGAAACCGCATTTCATTATGCTTCAGCACGTAAGCGAATAATCTTCGTTATAAAATGTTTGTCTCGCAACACCTGCTTTAATATTTTATTTAATAGCTCGCAGTTGCCCCCGACTTCGTCCATCTTCGTGCATTAGTTACCTTTCCGTCAAAATCAATCCAACCGTTCCGAAGATTACCAGGAACAAATGCGGCCTTGCGGACAGACGTACAGATAGAAATTTTAAAAATGATTTTTCGTTATGTGCAAACACATCATATTTTATGACGCATATTTTTTTTCTATCTTTATCTTTCGTATATACAGACAGTTCTATTTTATTAGTATGAATAGATTTAAAATATTATACACCAGAATTTTTACACTGATGTGTCCTTGTCTGTAAACTGAACTTTTTCTTTCAACAATCTTACTTTTCTAACTTCTTACTAATATTATAAATGCGAAAGATTAGATAGATGGATGTTTGTAAGAATGTATCTCCGGGACTGCTTAACGGGTTTTAATGAAATTTTGCACAGATGTAGAAGAAAATCTGGAAGAATACATAGGGTACTCATTATTTTATTTTATTTTTTAATTCCGCACGGACGGCGGCGCGGGACACTACTAACTCCCGTAACACAGAGGTGTAGTCAAATATTACGAATATCTATTTATTTAACAATGTATCGTAATTGTTACAATAATTTTATATTCCCATTATTAACGTTTTACAGTCTTGAAATGATTTTAATAAACGCAATCATGACAAGCTTGGGTTTTACCAACATATTTATATTTAAAATATGACATAAATCTTTTTTTCCTGTTTATTGTTGCTACGTAAAATAATGAATCAATAAGGACAAGGAAAAATCACTAGACATAATGGCAGACAAGTTGATGTATTACAAATATATCATTGGCAAATAATTTTATTCATAGACATATCAAAAATTGTAAGTGATAGTTAAAACTTTTTTTTGAATTAGTTTTTTTTTATAAAAAAGGGTCGTGTGGTCTTGATACATTTAGTACAGTTTAGCTCAGATTTTAAAGCAGAAAAGAAATGTAACCGTCAGTTTCCACTGGTGAAATACGTGTACAAAAACAAGATACTATTTAAAAACACACACACACACACGCGCGCGCACACACATTGAGTTGTTTTTTATTGCTCAGTATCACGCAGTAATCGTGGATTTCTGATTCCAAAATCTGTGTTCAAAATATATTGTTATCTCAACTGATATAAAAACGGCTAAACACTCACGTATATTCGTCCGAGTGAGCGACGGGCCGCGTTCGCCAAATAATACCAGTACCATTCATCCTGATGAAGGGCCCCCGATGGGCTCGAAACTAATCGGTGCCGCCACCGGACGAATATACGTGAGTGTTTAGCCGTTTTTATATCATTTTAGTATAATTTCTCACGATATTTTTGGAATCGTAGCTATAGATAGTTTATAGATGTTGCATACACTTATCGAATGCTCTTAGACCAGGTTACCCTATCAATATGGTTCCAATAATACAATACGTCTTTTATTTTGTTGATAAACATTTTTGCAGTTAACAAGATTGCCTTCGATAAATAGTCATACTGTAGGTATACTTCATAAGGAAAACATACACAGGAGCTGACCTTTCGTAACTGATTAAAGTGGCGGTTATATACCATCAACATTATCAGAACTCGTAAAAGAGAAAAATTAAACTATATAAGGATGTTTTGTACAACAGTTCAGAGTTTTTGATAATAACCGTGAGTAAAGCGATTAAAACCCATGTACAGTCAGCTGCAGAAATACCGAAGCAGATAAAATATCCAAATATATAGGAATTCCTAGTAATAAATTAAACACGGTATTTTTGCAGCTGACTCTACCTATATGTTTCACATCTAAAAGTACACTAATGTGGCGTATTAAATAAAGGTACTACCTGTCGCCCGTGACTCCGTCCGCGCGAAATAAAAAAACAAAGTAATTAGTAACCTATGTGTTCTTCCAGACTATGTTCTATATTTATGCATTTCACAGAGATCCATTGCGCCGTTCTGGAAATACCTTAAAGCAAACCTCCATACATCCATCCATCTAAGAATTCTTACATACTCCGCTGGGGCAGCGACCCAAAGTGGTTCTTGGCCTTCGACAAAAGAGATCGCCAAAGTCGCTTGGCGCCTTCTTCTGCCAGTCCATCGCTTGTAGCTCCCGCAAGTCCAGTTCTACGGCAACTTGCCAACGGTGTCTGGGCCGGCCGATTGGTCAACGTCTAATCGGGGTCCCGAGATATGCTGCTTTGGCTTTTAAACTTTCCCAATTATAATATTAGTAAGATAAAAAACCATTGTTGCTTAATTCCCCGACAACGAGGTTTTTATCGTTGGTTAGTAATTATTTTTGCATGTATGTGGGTTACAATGTATGTCAGGTTGATTATTACCGCTTGTAACCTAAATTAAACGGCTAAACCAACGAGTAAGGTCATTCCATTTACAGTCCTGTCCAAAGTTTTACAGTCGATTAAGATTTTTATTTTTTTTAACCGAGTAAACATTTAATTATAAAGTAAACAGTTAATTTAACTAGATGTCGCGCGAGACTCCGTTAAGTAGCCTAAGTGTTCTTCCAGACTATGTTCAACATCTACCCCAAATTTCAGTGAAACCATGCAGTCGTTCCGGAGATACTTTCAAAGAAACATCCAACCATCTTTTTTTTACGTTTTATAAGCTAGCGCTTGATCACGATCCCACCTGGTGAAGTGGAGATTTGGTCGAAAGATGGTACGCGCTAGCTTAGTAAGTGCCTATTCACTCAAAACATCTATCTAAACATTCGCATTTATGATATCAGTAAGATTAATATGAATTAACAAAACAAAAACCATGCACCGTGACATTTTCTTCTGACTTCTGACTTCTTCCGTGACTTTGAGCGAAAAAATTATGTAGATTATTCATGAAAGCATTTCAGCCTTGTCATAACGCAATATGTTAAAATTACAGAATTAAAAAACGCGTTAGTTAAAATTTGTTATGCGACGTATAATCTATTGAAATTTCGCAAATCTCTGAAACCCTCGAGTGCTTCGTAGAGCACCTCGACGCCCAGCTTTACCTTCAAGTTGACTTATTAAAACTGTCCTTACTTTATTTTATCTTATTTATTATGACAAGAATCAGCAGTCAAAAGAAAGTCAAGAATTATATCTATTTTGAAAATGAAAAAGGTTGTCTACTGGCACTATTTTTATTTAGCTCTTTCTACATTCATACATAGCGGCGACGTTTAGAAAGGTTAAATTTGGCGCACATGTGTTATGAATATTCAAAAATTTTAGGCGATACAATGACGTCTTTGCTAGCCTTTTGTGATATGTGAAAAAATAACTGTCGCCCGTATCCCTCCAAGCGGAATAAAAAAAACATAAAAAGTAGCCTACGTAATTTTCCAGACTATGTTCTATATGTATGCCAAATTTCATCAAGATCCGTTCAACAATTATGAAGATACGTTCAAACAAACATCCATCCATCGATCTAAACATTGGCATTTATAATATTAGTAAGATAATTTTTTTTTTCGAGATTACTAATAAAATACTTATATTAAATATAATATTACAGATAGAGTTATATACATAGAAATAAATAAAGATTAAGTGTTTGAAATATAATATTTGGTTACCTGGGATTCTCTGAAATTTATAAAGTTTAAACGATTCTCCCAGGTTTCATTCAGGCGCTATAAATATTAACAGCATAGTTGGTCCCTAGATCTGCATAGATTTAAGTTTGTTCATGATGAAGTTGATAACTTTATAACTAAATATCGAGGGACTTCGACACTTAGATGTAATCTATAAACAAATGTAAACCCATAAAGACATAAGATAAATGTTTTTGCTTAGAAATTTAAAGGTTTCTAGGTCCTTTGAGTTTTTGGCTTAGTATAAAAACCGATCGCAACACGATTGACATTTTTAATGTCCAAATAAAACTCTTGTATCAACAATACATATCAAAAATCTTACCAATATTATAAATGCGAATGTTTGGATGTATAGATGGATGTTTGTTTGAAGGTATCTACGGAACGGCTGAATAAATCTCGATGAAATTTGGCAAACGTATAGAATAATATGGAAGAACACAAAGGCTACTAATTATGTTTTTTAAAACTAGGTGCGCACGGAGTCGCTGGCGACCGCTAGTAAGAATATAACTCTAGAGAATTATATGAGTAAAGAAATGAATCGTACTTTAGAACAATGAATTTAAGTCTATTTCAAACGAAAAGTGAATCACATGAGGGAAATTCAATAAAGCTCTAAAATTCTACCATTAGCTTTAAAAGGGAAAATACACTAAGAGCTAGTTCTGACTGACGAACGCTTGCTCTCTCTTGAAATAAATTTAAAAATGAAATCTCATAAAATAATAAAACCTTTTCTAATATCAATTCTTTGCTGAAAAATTTGATGAGTAATTAAAAATAGTTAAAGAAATGTAAACTAATAATGTGAATGTAAAGTTAACAAAATAATATGCATTTGTTGGCGTCAAAGATAAAACTAACCTAAGAGAATTAGTAATACACTAGTAATATCCTGTGATGCTGAGATGCTACTAAATATGCAAAATAAGAATATTAAAAAAGAAAACAAAACAGAAATATTTCTTATAACTGGCCAGTATTTTTCTTAACCAAAGAGTTTGTATCTCATTACTATTGCATAAAGAATTCAAAAAAAGAATTTAGGGTTAATACAAAAACATAAGGATTAAAGCATTTATAGATTATTTTGAATATTTTTTTTACTTTTAAAACTGGGTGGCATTTAAAAAACTCATAGCAGTCGTCGTGTTGTGCTTAATAAGCGCTCTGTATTCATGGAACAGAATAATTGATATGAACTGACGTATTTGATTTGATCGTAAAACTGAATTAAATACAATGTAAATGAAAAAGCGTCAATAGCGTATTGGTTCAGGTTACGGATTTACGATCGCGTGTTCGGGGGTTCGAAAACCATAGATCATTAACAAAATAAATATTTAAAAAAAAAAAAAATATTGACCTCTGTAAAAATTGTATACAAAAAACAGTAATGTCGAAAGAGATTTTAAATGTGGCATAAAAAGAAATTGGCCATTAGGGCCATTTCTATAATGTGTCGTTATTGCGAACTCGCAAAGGGTTGCCTAAGCGTTTTTATGGTTCATACGATCGTTTTGATCGTCTTTTAAAAAATGTATCCTCGTAATATTCGTGCAAAAAACTTCGCTATTTTTACACTATCAAGTATGTTCTAATTTTATGAAAATATGTTGTTGATATTACTTTTAATCCAAAAAAAAAATTAAAAAAAGTTTATTCACTAGAAAAACTTTTTTTTTTAAAAATCCAATGGATCAGAGAGAAATTTCTGTATTAGGTCCTATGGATTAATTTCTTAGTATCTAAATGCTTTAAAAACCTTTTATAACAACACACTAGACCCTTTGAAGTTTTCGATTTATTCCTTTAGCTGTCGCTGATAGTATACTAATGTAGAAATCTTTGAATTAATAAAACAATCGATAAAATAAGGGAGTCTAGTACCGCATGACGAAGTTAACCAAACATGTCGACTAAACTTAATCCATTCGTTTCACCAAACACTAAATTACAATATTGATTCTGTAACCTTGATAATTTATTTACAGATAGGCAATTTCACCGGATAGGAATTGGAATTTCACGGATGTAAAAAAGTCGATAACAAGTTAATAAAAAAAAGTTTCATTCATCAAATTTGATAGTAGAGGTAGATTATATCTTTAGCTAAACCTTACTGATATAAATATGAATGTTTGGATTGATCGATGGATGTTTGTTTGAAGGTATCTCCAGAACGGCTCAACAGATCTCGATGAAATTTGGCACGAATGTAGATCATAGTCTGGAAGAACACATAGGCTGCTTATTATTTTTTAATTCGCGAGGACGGAGTCGCGTGCAATAGCTAGTAACACAAAAAAAAATTATCAATTTTATTTACCCTAGATTTCCCTTACCTAATGTTATAAGGTCATCATATGGGATAAAATATACGATGCATCTGTTTTCAACATATCAAACAAGCATAACCATGTCCCTTGTAAATTATAAGCATCATTACTGAAAGCTGTTCCTGACAAGATACAGTGCTTTACATCACCACTCACAGAGAACAATACAGACAACATACAAGTAGAGACCGGATTATGTTTTATTGTTCGCCTATCAATTGTCTATACTCTAGTTGAACTTTAGATTTTAATGCTTAGAATGTATTATAAATTAGAGAGAATCATAGTAAAGTATTAAAAGAACGTCGGTGGCTTAGCGGTCAAGCACTTGACTTGCAATATGCAGGTCCGGGTTCGAATCCCGCCATGTACCAATGTGTTTTTCGATTTCCGATTCACATACATAGTTAGCTGTTACATATACTTAATTGATTAATCAACAAAATTTGTCTTTGTTTCTAAATGATGCATTTTTATCGTATAAATTCTCTCTGGTCTTATCTAGTTGTCTATGCAAATTTATGTAAAAGTTAGTCTTGTTTGTGGATTTCCATTATAACAATACTCGAGATACTGAATTAAATCCCTAGCTTGAAATGCCAAATTTGTTACAGATATTAATACTTAATACAATTTAAACAAATAAAATGTGTATTGAGATATGGCCGCTGATAGAGATATAGGGAAGACCGTACCGACGTTTTGGAAGGAAAAAGGAGGAATGATGAAAATTATTTCAAATTGACAACACTAAAATCATGTTAGTAAGTTGATCGCAATTATTTAATCTATTTTAAGTTTTTTTTTTTAATTGTAATAGTAATCTCAGGTTTATACACGTAAAACTATAATAAAAACTTGCTCAAATTTGTTTCGATTATTGTTTAGTTATATTTTAAAAGTATCAAACTAAATATAATGGGTTTAATCCAAAGAAATATCGATTATGTTTATCTAATAAAATCATTTAATTTTCTAGTAGCAATCTACGTGATATTCAATAAGCAAATCAATTTCTATCGCCTAACGAAGTTTGCGGAGAAAACAAACTTGTCATAACTTAAATCAGTTTTAGACTATAGTCAACTAATTCATAGTATAAAGAATGTTTAGTGAATTTAATTTTTGATGATGATGAAAACCGTGATGTAACCTGCACATATCTGAGAAGACTCAAAGATATGTGTGAAGTCAACCAACCTGTACTTGGCCAGCGTGGTTGATTATGGCCTAATCACTCTTAACTTAGAGTAGGCTCCGAGCCCCTCGGTGGGGACGTATAGGGAGCTGATGATGATGATGATGATGATGTAAATGCAGATCAGAAAAGCATGTCAGATTCTTTTATAAAAGTCTTGAAAGTAGGCAATATTTTCTTGTAAATTGCTAAAAAAAACTGATACACATGAACAAATATGAAAGTATCAATATATCAACATTTGAATTCGTCATTTTTATGAATAATACATGAATTTCGTTCACATATTTCAATTGTATCATCGGATTTTATTTCAATTTGCTTACGTTTATGTGAAAAAGATATATTGCCGAATCACAATACGTACAAAATTCATGAAATTGTAAATAAAAGTAAGAAAAAACTAGCATCCTATTATATGTTTACGAGAAAAGTTTGATGGATATAGATATGGTATTTGCTGTACCTCTCCATATGTTGCTAATATTATAAATGCGAATGTTTAGTATGTATGTATGGCTGGATAATTGTGAGAAGGTTTCTATAGAACGGCTAATTTAGTCCTCTTTCCCCTCCCATCCTTTTTCTTATAAGGAAAGGATAGGAAGTTGAAGTGGACTTTCCGGATGAGAGGATGCATGGGAAGGGAAAATATTTTCTTTCTGTGCATCCTCTCCTCCGTCGATTAAAGGTAGGCAACGCGTATGCAGTTGCGTATGTCTATGGGCAACGGTCACTTCGCTATTTCAGCGATTTCACGTGGCCGCTCGCTCGTTTGCCACCTTATGATATAAAAAAAATACGCTGATTATGAGCGCTACTGTCATACTGTACTAGCATAATTGAAACCAGAAATTAATGCATTAATCATATTCATCCTGGAATACCCTGAAGGAACAAACCTATATATAAAATGACGATACTTTATCAATGACCTCGGTATGTCACTCTTTTTTGTAAATAATCGATTTATTATATTCTTTTAATTATTTTCCATTAAAAGAATATAATAAATCGATCATGATATGAATACGATGCTATTATAGCAACATATAAATAAATTTCGAAATCAAATGATAGTCAGTAACACATTAGATCATTTGTGACTACGTAAGTTTTTTTTTAAATAAAATTCAGTCTAAAATTATCACAGAAGAAAAAAGTTTTTATATTTATTTATCAAAACAGAGTTAGGTAAGTACATAAAATATTATTTTGTTTTAATTCCATCTCTTTTGTTTTGGGATAGATACATTATGTTGCGCCTTTTTAAACGCATGTAGGAGTTAAATACGATTTTTTTTTATATCATAAGGTGGCAAACGAGCGAGCGGCCACCTGAAATCGCTGAAATAGCGAAGTGACTGTTGCCCATAGACATATGCAATTGCATATGCGTTGCCTACCTTTGATCGATGGAGGAGAGGATGCACAGAGAGAAAATATTTTCCCTTTCCATGCATCCTCTCATCCGGATAGTCCACTTCCACTTCGCATCCTTTCCTTATAAGAAAAAGGTTGGGAAAGGGAAAGAGGAATAAATTAGGCCTACGGGGCGATACGCGGAATAGCTTCCACTTCACGCCTGTCTTCTGTGTGGTCGTGGTATTTCGCCGGGCGAGCCGGGCCAATTCGTGCGAAGATGATAAAGCGGGCTCTACCACTGTTAATGACAAAGGGAACAATGACAAAGGGAAAAAACAATTTCAAGATTGTAGGTTATTTTATCTAGAGAGTTTAGGAGTAACCTTCATATTATTCTACATAAAATATAGATCTATGCCCATACAATATAATTAATATTTTCTGTTCATATATTAAATTTGCTATTGAAATATGAACAGTACATTTTATATGAAGAGTCTTAAAACTATGATTTTAAATAAAATATTAAAAACGAATAATTATATAAAATATATTATTAAAAGGAGTCCCTTTAGGCAAGGTTTCGAAGATACTGGCACCGTTCTTCCTTTGAATAGCTATACATATTCTTTGTCCGAGGTAACTGCCAGCTCTTCAATTCCCTGTGATGTCGATTAACTTTTTTTAATATTTCCTTAAAAAGCCTTAAAGCGCTAGGACCCCACAGACCAAGGGTCTCGACGCCGAATGGGACAACATCATATTCGGAGCCTAGAACCATGTACTTGCGTGCTTTAGCATTTTCCCCCGCTTCACAAGCCGCACCATTCTGTTGTTGATTTCATGTAGATGGGAAGGGGCCAGCGTGTCTGAACAGGTTGCATTCCATACCAGCACCCGACCCATCTTCCGTGGAAACAAAACTCATACTATGCGGTCTCTTGCCATCGTCTCTGTTAATTTAACTGGAACTATAATTTGCTAATTATCCTAACAGTGGAATTAATTCATGGAATAAATATGAATGTAAAATTATACCAAACATATCCCAACTATTTATCTTCTATAAAGCTTATTCATTGATCAATTTTAATACTAAAACTGTCCATAATAAATGACATTATCAAGCAGTGAAATTTGTAAATGTAATATTAAATTTCCTTTGAATTCAAATATAAGTCTTTTACGCTGCAAAACAATTATCTTAGGACATGTTATCGGATTCAAGAGTCTAATTCGTCCTGTTCTAATTGAAATATAACTTAAAATGTCATTAGTAATACAAATGACGTTTGATATAAACGATGTAATAGAAATTACAAATAGGACAAGACCTGACGAGATTTGCATTATATTAATAGAATTTATATGTTCACAGGAAACATGATCTCTTGGTATCTAATCTTTGCACTCTTGGTTGCGACGAGCGTATGTCAAGGACCATCTTACGATGGAAGCAAACCTATAGGGTATCCTGCTTTTGAGGAGAAAGCAAAAGAGTCTACGAGCGCTAGAGATGAACCAAGGTAAGGACTATTACGAAATGAGACTCCAAATATTATTAATTAATTAAGTTTCTAGATTTGATTTCGTTTTTCACTATTAATTAATTTAGTTCATTCTGAAATTTCTGATTTTTTACACATTTGTACACATAATCTGACTAATATTTTAAATGCGAATGTTTACATGGATGGATGTATATTTGCTGACAACTAATTGAAACATAATTTGAAATCAAAATACAGTAGTATTTAAAAACACGATTTCATTTAGGATGGCACCTGGAACTACAACAATGTCGACACCAGTGATAGCAACGAGGCTACCCATTGGGGCTTTTAGAGACAGAAGTCTGCTTGAAACCCTTTCCAAACTGCCTTTAGATAAACAGCCAGTGTGGTTGGAAAATTGGAAAAAATTGGAAGAAAATAGACCTATACCGAAAACTTATTAACTCAAACCAAATTTGTAACTACATCCCATATACCCACATCTCGTCCTCGACCCGGACGATATCTTTATTAACCAAAATTTCATTAACAAATGTAATGTCATTGTCTTTTCTTAAATACGTTTTAAATAAATTTACTTTGTGGTTAATTGATTTTTAATGTAATAAGCAACTTATCAGAATATTCATTGTTTACGCCGAATAAAAATAAAAAGGATTAAAAACAAAATGTTGTGCTAATATTAATTAAGACTGCAAAATGGAGTACTGGCAGGCCATTGTTGCCACGCGGCGCTTTTTTTTATATCATAAGGTGGCAAACGAGCGAGCGGCCACCTGAAATCGCTGATATTACGAAGTTACCGTTGCCCATAGACATACGCATTTGCATATGCGTTGCCTACCTTTAATCGACGGAGGAAATAGGGGAAAATATTCTCTTTCTGTGCATCCTCTCCTCCGTCGATTAAAGGTAGGCAACGCGTATGCAATTGCGTATGTTTATGGGCAACGGTCACTTCGCTATTCAGCGATTTCAGGTGGCCGCTCTCTTGTTCGCCACTTTATGATATAAAAAAAGGAAAGGATGCACAGAAAGAAAATTTATCCCCTTTCCATGCATCCTCTCATCCGGAAAGTCCACTTCCACTTCCCATCCTTTCCTTATAAGAAAAAGGTGGAAAGGGAAAGAGGACTAAATAAGGCCTCCGGGACGCACACTCATCAGACGAAACGCGGAATTGCTTCCACTTCACGCCTGTCTTCTGTGTGGTCGTCGTATTTCACCGGGCGAGCCGGGCCAATTCGTGCGAAGACGTTAAAACGGGCTCTACCACTGTTAGAAAATGTAAATAAAAGTCAAAACAACAAAAAACTAGCATCCTATATTTACAAGAAAAGTTTGATGGATGTTTAGTATGTATGTATGGTTTGATATTTGTTAGAAGGCATTTATAGAACGGCGTAACAGATCTTTATGAAATTTGGCATCGGCTACTAATTACATTTTTTTTAATTACGTGCTGACGGAGTCGCGGGCGACAGTTAGTTCAAAATAAAAGTGCTACTTCTCACTTTAAATAAGAAAAACTCCATAAAATACAACTAAAACTGAGACCAAAAAATCTAAATACTTTTATTTTTATATATTTCTGTATTAATAAAAGGAAATTGAATTTACACTAATAAGATAAATTTCGAAATACAGGCACAAAAAACGCTGTTCGCTTCAACAGAAGGCAACACAATTTGCCTCTCAAATGAGATTTACGCTATAGTCTTTATTACCGTGGAAGCATCTATTTAAAATTCCATCAATGTCCTGAGTGGGGACACAATTTGAGGGAATAATGCAAAAATGTTAAGGTTCATTCAGCTAATGTAAAGCTTACGCTATTTAACCGAAAAGGGTTGAAATGATTACGAATGTCCAAAATCTGGTCACAATTAAGTTCTTGGAGTATTTATAATATGAGAATTCTGCACTAAGAGTCTGCGTTAGTGACTAATTAAATTCATAGTTAATTATCTTCCTATTTAAAATTACTAGTTCTGGCCCGCGGCTCCATCCGCGCGTAATAACAAAAATATTAGTAGCTTAGGTGATCTTAAAGATTACTTTCTACATCTATGTCAAATTTCATCGAGATCCGTCGAGCAAATAGTTCTAGAAATATTTTTTTACAAAAATCGATCCAATCATCCATCCAACTAAATATTCACATTCACATATTAGTAAGATGAATAAACTAACTACGTTCTCAATTTTCTCAAGGTGCTCTTTACCACGTCATGTCTAGTTTACATTAAGCCAGTACAGTAGAACTGTATCGCTGGCCTGGCATTGATGTTATGGCTTATGGGTGCTAGTCAATGTTTACATTACGCCAGTAACAGTAGCGCTCATTATCAGTGTATACGCTGATAATGAGCGCTACTGTCGTACCGTACTGGCATAATGTAAACCAGAAATTAATATATCATATTAATCCTGGAATATCCTCAGGGACAAACCTGTATCTAAAATGACGTCATTTTATCAATGACGTAGGTATATCACTCTTAAAGTAATTAAAAGAATATAATAAATCGATTATGATATGAGAGAGTGAGATATATATATATGAATACAATGCTATTACATCAACATATAAATAAATTTAGAAATCAAATGATAGTCAGTAACACATTAGATCATTTGTGACTACGTAAGTTTTTCTTTTAAATAAAATTAAGTCTAAAATTATCACAAAAGAAAAAAGTTTTTATATATTTTCATCAAAACAGATTTAGGTAAGTACATAAAATAATATTTTGTTTTAATTCCATTTTTTTTTGGGTTAGCTACATTATGTTGCGCCTTTTTAAAACGCATGTAGGAGTCAAATACGATTACAAAGGGAAACAATTTCAAAATTGTAAGTTATTTTATCCAGAGCATTAAGGAGTAACCTTCGTATTATTCTACATATATAGTTCTATGTTCATACATGCGATGTAGTTAATATTTTCAGTTAATATATATAACTATAATCAGACAATTATCCCTACAATGGAATTAATTAATGGAATAAATAGGAACATAAAATTATACCAAATATATCCCGAAAACTTTTCTTTTATAATAATATTCTTATTCAATTTAAACACTAAAACTTTCTATAATAAATGAGTGAATTGTATAAACTGAATATCAAATTACCTTTGAATTCAAATATAAGTCTTTTACGCTGCAATACAATTATCTTAGGACATGTTATCGGCTTCAAGAATCTAATTCGTCCTGTTCTAATTGAAATATAACTTAAAATGTCATTAGTAATACAAATGACGTTTGATATAAACGATGTAATAGAAATTACAAATAGGACAAGACCTGACGAGATTTGCATTATATTAATAGAATTTAACAATTATCTGTTCGCAGGAAACATGATTTCTTGGTATCTAATCTTTGCACTCTTGGTTGCGACGAGCGTATGTCAAAGACCATCTTACGCTGGAAGCAGACCTATAGGGTATCCTGCTCTTGAGGAGATAACAGAAGAGCCTACGAGCGCTAGAGTAGACTCAAAGTAAGAACATTTACGAAATTAGATTCGCAATAATATTTAATTAGTATAAATCATTCATGTTTCTACATCCAATTTTTTTGCTTAGTTTTCTCTATTTATTAATTAAGTTCATTCCGAAATTTCTGAATTTTTACACAACATTTGTAGACATAATCTTACTAATATTATAAATGGATGGATGGATGGATGTTTGGTGACAACTATTTGAAACATCATTTGAAATCAAAATACAGTAGTATTTAAAAACACGATTTCTTTTAGGATGGCATTTGGAACTACAACAATGTCGACACCAATACGAACAACGACCGTAAGGCTACCCATTGAGGCTTTGGGAGACAGAAGACTGGTTGAAACCCTTCTCAAACTGCCTTTAGATAAACAGCCATTCTGGTTGTTAAATTGGAAAAAATTGGAAGACAATAGAACAAAGCCGAAAACTTATCCACTCAAGGCAAATTCATATCTACATCATATACCCACATCTCATCCTCGACCCGGACTATATCCTTATAAACCATAATTTCATTTACAATTTTTTTTATTACCTTTTTTTAGACAAATACGATTACTTTGTGCTTTATCGGTTACTAATGTATTGATAACTATGGAAAAATCTAAGGGAGGCCTATGTCGAAGGACATCCTGACGAAGCCACTGGAAACTGAAAACAAAGCTATAATTTTATTTATTTTTCTGTTTAAAAAAAATACAAAGTTTATGTAAAAAAAAAATGATGTACTGGTCAGCGAATAAAGGCTTATCTTATCTTATCTTAATAATGTTTTGATAAGCTGCTAATCAGCATATCCATTGTGTATCCCCGAATGAAAATAATAAAGATTAAAAACAAAATGTTGTGTTAATGTTAACTCAGAATGTAAAATGGAGTACGATCTCAGGCAGGCCATTGTTGCCACACGGCGCTTCTTGAATATGTATCAACTATCTTTTAGAGTGGAGCTCTGGATTTTTATAGTTCAAGCCTCAGTGGATTTAACGTTTCTTTACAAATTCTATTGAAACATATTCTTTATATATATACTGTTATCACTACATGTATATAAATATACGTGTACATACATCAAAATAACGTTTTTAACAATTTCTGTCCGTCTGTTTGATCCGGCAAATCTCAGAAATGGCTGGACCAATTTTGACGGGACTTTTCTTGGCAGATAGTTGATGTAATAAGGAGTAACTTAGGTTACGTTTTAATGAAATAAAATTGTGTTAATTTGGAAAAATAAAGTATTGTTGCAATGTTTAAGTACTGTCCAGTACCGCGCGCAGCTCAAAGACAGTATTTCACGCAGACGAAGTCACGGGCACAACTAGTAAGAATGTATAAATAAAAAAAGATCATGCAAAATGTTCTTTTTTCCCTCTGTTGTAGATTTATACCTATTTCGAACACTGGCCGTAACTCAAGTTTGTAAGATTATGTATATATATTTCAAAAAAACAAGTGACGTATAGTTTAAGAAAAAAGGAGGAACGTGTGTCTGCAATAAAGAACCTGGAGTATTAGAAATAACAGTTTTATTGGCAAGATCCCTCGCACCTTACTTCTTCTACCATCTATTACGATCATTTACTTCATCTTTTCATAGATTTATTCATTCTCTATAGATATTTATTTGCTACAATTTATAACAATACAAGGCTAAACATAACTCTTTGAAGATTATTGTTGCATTCCTAATGTTTATACGCTTCTGAATAAGTACGCACCGGGAGGAATTTCAATTTATTACTCGTTTAAATTCCCGGCGCGTTCCTTGTGCGCTGACATTTCACCTTCTACCTTCTCAAACCAATTATTTATTTAAACCTATATTTACAATACGAGATTCTACAATATTTTAATATTTTGTTTACACAATTTGAAATTGTATTTGTTTATTGCATAAACTCACTAACAACTTGTTGACTGGACAACTGGAATATCAACATTTCAGTAGAAATAAACTCTTTTATCTCATCGGAATAATTGTACTACAGCCGGATCTGTAGGTTCATTAAGATGATTTCATAATTGCCACTTATATGTCGAACAATGGTAGACGTCAGCATCTGTTGCACGAATTTGCCGGCTTGACCGATGCTATACCCCAACCACACAGAAGAAAGGGGTGAAATGGTAGCCATTCCTCTGTATTGAATGAGCGTATCGAAGGCCTAATTTTAATCCCCTATCCCATCTTACCCCTTTTCTTATAAGGAAACGATAGAAATGTTAAGTGGATTTGATGGCGAGGGGAACGCATAGGAAAAGTAGGCAACGTAGATTTTGCCTACTTTAGTATTCGTTGCGCTATATTTAGCTCGTTCACGTACCGATACGTGCTGCCGGTCCAAAGGTCTGACATCGACTCACGCCCCCTCTCTCCGTCATGTACTTATGACGTGTACGCTCGAGACATACAACACTACATTTATGCATATACTACACTTATCTTTATTGTTTGCAATTACGGATGTCTATGGTCTGCGGTTGCTTCGCTATTTCGACGTATTTAAGTGACCGCTTGCTCGTTTGCCGCCTTATAATATAAAAAAAAACAATGTCATTGATCCATTTTGTTTTTTTTCGTTACGAAAGAGTTACATTTACGTGACAAACTAACCCGTATCTATTCGATTTTACATGACATTTAACACCTCGCTTTGATAAATCCAATTTTCGTGGAAGAGTTACATCGAAATGTCATGCTGGTATACGTGCCGAGAATTTCAACAAGCTACGGAATTGAAATTCCAGTTGTTGCGTACCCATTTCATTAACTCGGTATATATTGATATCAAAAATACAATTGATATCCATCAATACTAAATAAAACTCTAAGTTCTACATCGATTGTAATACTTCGATATACAACATTTATAATAAAGATAGCTTGATTTTGAAATCAAACTTTCGTTGCATTCCTGTCCATTCCTTCTTTAGAATTTACTACAAAAAACTAGCATCAACAGCTTTGATGCTTGATGATAGCATACCATTCATTAAACACCATTAAAATAACAAATATTCAATAATTGTTACCACAACAAACGTCAGTTGATTCAAAGAAAACGTTCTATTTTATTCAGTCATCTCTGACTCTATAAATAAACTTGCTTCATATTATGTATTAAAAATGTAAATAAACTCAGGTGCAGACACAGAGAGTACACTTGCTTGGCGATGAATTTTAACATGTGCATTCTAGTGTTACTCTCAAGGGAATTTCGTGACAAACTTTTACCTACAGATTTGCACACGGCTTGAGAAGACTTGTGGAATTACACTAGAAGATTTGTGGTCTACTATTTATACATAGTTAAAGACGTTCGAGAATATTTCTGTTAAGACATACTTTATTTTTGTTTTTGATTTTGTTTTTTTTAATTGTTTCATTCAGATTTGCTGCAATTTAATATGCTTGATACGCTTTCTAGTCATCATCATCAGCTCATTATACGTCTCCACCGAGGGGCTCGGAGCTTACCCTAAGTTAAGGGTGATAAGGCCATAGTCAACCAAGGCCAAGTGCGGGTTGGTTGACTTCACACAAATCTTTGAATTACTTTTCAGATATGTGCAGGTTGCATCACGATGTTTTCCTTCACCGTAAGAACGTCGGATAAATGTACATATGTAAATCGGAAATCGAAAAACACATTGGTACATGGCGGGATTCGAACCCAGGACCTGCAGATTGCAAGTTAAGTGCTTAACCACTGAGCCACCGACGCTTTCTAGTGCATTTAGAAAACTATTTCAATATGTTTTTCTTTCCTTAAATTACTTTGTTACTTTTTATGCTCGTTAAAAGTCTGTTATGTTTTAATTGGATTAAAATCCTAAACTTAAAATTGCCAGATACGATGATGAGGTTGGCAAATGTTGTCATCAAATTTCATCAAGCGAGTATTCTAAAAACCAATTACAGTGTTGATTGTGTATATTAATTGGAAAATTGTCAGGATTGCGATAAGGAAGTCTTCAATTTAATTGAATCGATCTTACAAAAGAAATAGAAGATTAGACTTGACAGTTTACATTTCATTTACAATGAATTACTTGACAGTGATTCTTGTCTTCATAAAATGTAAGTTAAGAATTTTGATTTTAATAACACGTTGGAATTTTCGTTGTTAATGCAATTTACAAAATGTTTAAATCGAGTCATTAAATTGCAAGTTAATAAATGAATAAATTCCATATCATTCCTACATTCCAACATCGAATTTAGACCTAAACTTAAACCTAACTGTTACATCATAGAAACACACGTTGAAACGAAAGTGTACAATAATAACTTGCTTTGATTATTTCAGGTATCACTTTTATAACCTGCCTTAAATGTAACATAAAATGCCCAAATACAGACAGGGTTGAATGTGGATTGGATATGGTAAATTCTGCCTACAAATTGTTTACCAACGCATGTTCTATGAAAGCTTATTCGCGCTGCACTGGAGACGGTATATATTTTTCCTTATTTTTTTTTAAAGTACATAAATATTACTTCGGGGAAACGTAACAGTGGTAGAGGCCGCTTTAATCTCTTCGCACGAATTGGCCCGGCTCGTCCGGTGAAATACCACGACCACACAGAAGACAGGCGTGAAGTGGAAGCAATTCCGCGTTTCGTCTAATGAGTGTGCGTCCCGGGGGCCTAATTTTGTCCTCTTTCCCTTCCCATCCTTTTTCTTATAAAGAAAGGATGGGAAGTGGAAGGGGACTTTCCGGATGAGAGGATGCATGGGAAGGGAAAATATTTTCTTTCTGTGCATCCTCTCTTCCGTCGATTAAAGGTAGGCAACGCATATGCAATTGCATGTGTCTATGGGCAACGGTCACTTCGGTATTTCAGCGATTTCAGGTGGACGCTCGCTCGTTTGCACCTTATGATATAAAAAAAACGTGATTGATCTTGGCCTCATCTATATTACAATTACGTATCTGAATATTGATACAATTGAAACATTTTTTAGAACCTATTTCCACTTTAAACTTACGCGAGTCTAGGTTTGCTATAAATCAGTCGCTATCGGTCCTGTGGAAATAGAACAAGTGACAATTCATAACAATTGCTCGCGGTATAATCGCATAGTGGAAACAGGCACTTAGACATAGGGTTATACTGTATAAGTTTATTGAAAATCTCTTCTTTGTTAACAGAATATATTCCCGTACCATTGAGTTCCTGTGTGAGGAGACATAATAGTATGATTATAAGGAAAATGTATAGAAGTTTATATGATGAAGTTTGTCCTACATTTTGTCCTGAATACTACAGACCTGTTTGCGGTGTATCACAGCTGAGAGATTATGATTATAGAACATTTAGAAATGGTTGTTATTTAGATCTGGTTAACTGTCGAGGCATTGAAGATTTTTGTAAGTAAAATATCGTTATATGTAACTTTTACTTCCTTATGGGACTTTCTAAATTTTGTTTGGTCAACAAATTATTTGTATGTTTCCAATTCTATATTAACCAATTAGCTTGGTGCTCTCAGTAGTTTTATGACTGCTACAGGTTTTATGTCAAATTTGATTGGTTACAATTCAAAAAAATTACTAATAATGCGTATTTTTTTCAGCATATCAGGAAGTTTCTTTGAAATTTTGTCAAAATCATTATATGAAAAATATATTTACGGAGCAACTCATTACAAATAACATGAAAAAGTACAAGGAGTTTTTGTCTCGGAAACGATTTGAAATATAATAAATCCAATACAATACAGTAGTTTTATTTAAAGAATATGTCATGTGATCTTCAATTATATGTCACCGAAGGATCGTGAATTTCGCTTGTTTATTATTTTCCGAGGCAAATTGAAAGACTCGGCAAATTGTATATCGTACGAATTTATTCACAAAGTGTCGTGTTTTCTTTCGCAACGTCATTAGTGTTCGAAGCCTGAAGACACTTTATTGCCTGCAAAAAATAACGGACAATGGCGTGTATAAAATGATTTTAATATGTCAAATATGACATTTAGCAAATTATATTCGTTATGTAATTTAGCAAATCATTACAATTTGCCTAGTCAAATTTTAAACAGACGGAATTTACTATCAGTTGGTGACGTAATATGATTATACAGAACCCAATTTTGCATCTTGACCAAGTGTAACTTTGCACTATAATATTATCGTTATGTTCAAAATTCCTCCAACAAAGTAGTTAATAGCTTCTTGTAACTTCCGTACTCAATCAAGCTTAACCACAGAGCGGACCAAACTATTAAGTTTTGCACTAATTACCTGTTCCAATATTGTAGCTTCAATACCGATACCCGATATTATATATTTGGTATAAAATCATGGTATAACAGTTCATTGTCTAGTAAAATATTTTATGTAAAAGATATGACATACTATTAGAGAGAAAATTATATTGGCTATATTGTACAGTTAGCTGCCTAAATATGTGTACATTTTTTAAACTTGTATATCCCGTATACGTATTCGTTTATTTGTTATTATTATTTATTAATGATTGGAACAGTAAGGTGGGACAGATTCATATATATTTTAGAAACCAAAGGCTCATACAAGTTTTTGAAGCTTTATTATTGTATTTATGTTTTTGCAGCTGACTGTACTTGCGTTAGTACCGAAGTAAAAATGAAATACAATCAGAATGTAAGCCTTAAGAAAATACAAATAAAATTTTACATGATTGATTAAAGAATAGACCGCTATATTGTTTTCGTTAAATCAAATCTTTTAATATTAGGCAAACTAATTCTTTATTTCATCCCAATCTCGGTACCGTTCCAAACAGAATAAAATTTCGTGAATTGGATAAGATTTACATAATTTAGAAATGACGTAGAGTGAGTAAACTGTAGTCAATTTTATTGAATCAATAATTCTTTTAGTTCAGTATTTGCTGAATGTTATAACACAGCTGGTCCGATCATGAAATGTGATAATATACATTCAAACGGTAACATAAACAAATAACATCTGCAGACATAAGCATTATAAAACGAATTTAAAAGTACATTGAATAGAAGCGAAGGAAATAAGCTTTAAGAAAATCACCTAAGAACGTTGGATCTCATTTCCTACTTGAATGGCAATTTATATTATATTTAAAGCGGACCATCTTCCTAAGCGCAGTGTCTATTACTGCATCGTTTTATCGTAACACATATTTTTATAGTATAAGGTGACAGACGAGTAAGCGGCCATTTTATTACTTTAAATTGGAGAAGGGACCACTGCCTATAGTTTACCTTTTATAAAAAGAGAAGAGGACATGTAGTAAAAGAGCATTTCCCCTTAGTACACGTCTTCTCCCCAGACATATTTCCCGTACCTATCCTATATAAGGAAAGAGTAAGAAGTCAAAATAAGTTTATAATCTGACCTCCGGTTCGCATACTCGTCAGACGAAATGAGGAACTTCTACTTCACGCTTCTCTTCTATGTGGTCGTGGTATTGCCCCGGTCGAGTGGGTCAATAGCTAATACTGCTGCGGGTTTTAACGTAGTTGCTGGATAATTCCACTAAAGTTAGACTTACTGGACTGTCACATCCATAAGGAAATAATATATTTGGTTTCATTTGAAAGGAATTCAAACTAGATAATATTGTGTGAAATTACTTTTCTAAACAAGACAATACAGGTTCGTATTAACAAAAAAAAAACTCGTAAAACGAAGGCGGCACATAAAAACAAATTAACTGTGCGAATGATTCGAGTCCTAAACTGTGTAATCGTGACTTCGGGTCATCCATTACCAAGGTTTACGATTTTGTTAGCTCACCATAAGTTTACCTTAAACACAGTAGTTAAAAATAAACGAAATGGAAGTTTTTTTACCTTATTCCTATAGAAATTATATAACTAAAGTAACTATAGAGATAAATAAAGTAAACTGTAGCTAAGCCAATTATTCTTATTGTCGTTAGCATTTCATTAATATGCGGTTATCGTTATTAACACTTTCACTGCCACTGAATCGCCGTGCAAGTTCAGAACTATTGGTAATGCATCTGTAATTCCTATGCTATGTTCAAATGAGTCAGATCTGACATTAGGCGAACCAAAGTAAACCAAACGAAACTTCATTACAGACATCTTATTATATACGAGACTTCGCCAGCTCCGTCCGCGCGGAATCTAAAAAAAAATTATAAGTAGCCTATGTGTTCTTCGAAACTATGTTCTACATCTCTGAAAATTTTTCAGCGTGATCCGTTAAGTCGTTCCGGAGATATCTTCAAACAAACATCCATCCATCCATTCAAACATTCGCATTTACTATATTAGTAAGCTTTAATTAAATTATTAATTAACTATTAATCGAAAGGAGATTTATAAAACAATTAAACAAAAGTTTTAAACGTTGTTTCGTCAAAGCCTTCATTTAACTTTTGAGATAATATTTCTAAACTTTCCTTTATATCTGAGACAAAACTGAGCTAATGTTTTGAGTTTGACGAGTTTTAATAAAGTTCAATCTTTCTCTAAACTGTCAACAAACCTAACTTCAAATGCCAAACTAATAGTTTAGAATTATTTCTATTATTATAAGTATTTGATTTCGAATCCAAACAATTACACATGACTATTGTTCAAAATAAAAAATACACAAAAAAAAATCATTAATCAAGTACCTAATTGTTAATTTAGTGTTAGTTAGTTAGCCAAGAAGTGCAAATGACTGTCATACTTTAATCTCAAAACTATTTCTTGTTCGGACTTCGACTATACTTTGAACTTCTTCGAGGAGAACTTAGCAAACATCTGCCAACTTCTCTAATCGTTGGTTTCTGAGACTTAAATTTCTGTATGAAAATATACTTGTCGTTATTTTTGACAAAATAGAAATACCAATATATTTTGAACGGCGATTTCGGTGGTCTCTGAAACCCACGTTTAGAAGTTTAGATAATAGTAGAAAGTATACGTTTGAATAATATATATATTTAATATACTATTTATACACATTCAAACTTCTTACGGCGAAGTAAAACATCGTGATCCTGCACATATCACTACACATGTGAAGTCAACCAACCCTTACTGTCCCGGTTAACTATGTGCTAGTCACCCCTGACTTAGGGTAGGCTCTGATCACCTTACTATATGTCGTAAGTTGATGATGATAATGTATTCTGATTTAACTTGAACCTGGAAAAAATAACACAAGACACTTTGTAAAGCTCGCTTTTTTCGTGGCCATTATCATACATTTATACTCACATAAACTTTAAAAAGATATTAAGGGGAACATTATCTAGAAGCTGCATAAGCACTTTCACAAATTATACCAATCTATTAGGGTTACATGAAAGATATTACAAAGTCAATGAGACGTTATAATATCAAAACAATTTGGATTCTATAAAAAAGAGTATTTGTGATACGGTGTGATTTTTTTTTCATAAAATAGTGAGTAATCGGTCATTAGAATTCGCCGAAATAGCGAAGTGACAGCTGCTTATAAACATCCGCACTTGCAGACACGTGCATCTTTAACCATCAGGTAAGTGGACCCATAGAAGGATGTTTCCCTTTCTTATGGTTTCTTCGACAAATTAACTTTCCCTTCTCATCCCGTCCTTATAAGAAAAGGTTAATCGAGAAAACAGTTATAAGATATTTTAATTTTAATCAAATTAAGGTAAGTATGTAAACCAATTTTCTTTGAGCACATTTATCACAATTAAAGATAAAGCAAATATAGAGAGGACAAATATTTGATATATATAAATTGAAGATCTTTCTTATTATTCCTTCTTCCTTGCTATATGTTGCGGTTGTCTGCTCTACTATCACTAAAAGACACACCTTATGTCTGTTCGTGTTTGAAATTTTTGTTTGTCTGTCACAAATCGCTCTTTCTTCCTAATAATCTCCGAAACAATTTTGACATGGCCTTAACTTAGCCTACTTTTTTTAATTATTGAACTGACGAAGTTGCTCTATTATGAAATAAATTGAACATTGTTTAGTGATTTCTTTAACTTTTGATATTTGTAACCATTTCATTTTGTATTGTAGATTGTTTTGTATTTGATTGTGGTATTATAGGCATCTGTCTAGACAATTCAAGTAAAGGACTTCTATAAAATGGAAAGTCCTATCTTTATTTAAGTCTCCAGTTAAACAATATTTCGCAGTTAATAGCGTCGTTTAACTGGTTCTGTTATTTCAACAATTTCATTGGAAAATTGTTGATATTTTTTACAATATTTGATATCTTCAAGCTTTATTTATTAATTATTACTAGCTGTCGCACGCGACTTCGTCTGCAAGGAATTAAAGATAAAAACTTAATTTAGTAAACTTAAAGAAGCCTTTGTTATTCCAGGATATGTTCTAAATATATGCGAAGTTTAAGAGATTTTTATTTTCTCAAGGTTAAGATATTTCCGTTAATTCAGACATTTAAAAATATATATTCCCAGTTATCGTTATTCATTATTTTGACTCCTGAATTAGGTAAAATATGTGTTATTGTTATACTTAAGCCTTATAAGCAAAAAAGTAATGAGATTGAATGTGGATGGCTACAAAGTTAGAGGAAGACCAAAAAAAGTATGGAATGACTGTGTGAAAGAGGATATGCGTAGGAAGGGGGTAGACTCGGATATGACGACTGATAGAGATGTATGGAGGAGTAGTACATACTGTGCCGACCCTCACTAGGGATAAGGGCAGGTTGATGATGCTATTTAAGCCTTATATGATTAATGAGATTCTGCTTAATGTTATTCACAATCTATATGTGTTTAAGGTTCAACAGTAGCACTGTACCTGGCAAGACCATAGAACATACTAAAGTACAAGGTTAGTTTAGGTTAGGTTAGACGCATAAAGAAAAATTTTTTGTCTATTGAAAATGTTAGAAATAAAATCATACATTTTGCAACCTTTTATTTATTGTAACCCACATTATAAATTTAAATGTTTGTATATTTTAAAAGTTGAATTCGTTGCCTTGATTTTGGTTTATAGGTTCGAGGAATGGACTTTGTCGCTGTTCGTAAGTCTGTGGCCTTCTCCTATTAGCTTCTACAGCTCTCCAGTTAATAAACCAGAATGGTTGTTTGTCTATCGGCAACCTACTTATACGCAACACCAAGTTTCTGTCGTTCAACGCATCCAGAGGTAGCACTTGAACACGCTCATCATTTCCAAATCTGCAATAAATTGTTGGATTATTAAATCTTCAAAAGATCGTTGTTTCTTGTTACTGAATAAGTGAGATTCAATTCGGGATTTACCACGCGCAACGTTTTCATTATTTTAATGAAGAAAATATAATTTACACGCAAAAATCAGATGAAATACAAACATATTTTCTATTACACATATTTAAACCTCTTTAGTGGCAGTTTGTTATCAACCACCCAAACGTGCCACGGAACTCTACGTTGCTTACTGTAAACTGTGGATTTCAACAATGGTCCCAGTACAAAAAATACTCAATTTTACCTGTTTCCTAGTAATCCAGATGAAGGAGTAGTTTCGATTTCTGGGTACCCAATCGGCCTGCTTCCAGCGTAAGACGGTCTTTGGCTCAGACAGCCGGTAACGAGAAGAGAGAATGCGATATAATGCAATATTGCCATTTTGAGGTTATCTGTAACGTTAAATATTTATACTACACACACAGAAATTTTGGATAGGCGGTTTTAGACTTAAATTATTTTTTAAAGTATCGTAAATATTATTCTTTTGTTAATGGAAACAATTTAGAACACCCTTTATAAAACAATATTAAATTAAAAAAACATTAAGAGTTTGAAATTATTTGGAAAGACTAATTAAATAAAAATACAGACATTTGTATCTGCGTAGAGTAATTAAATGCCAACAATTTCATTTGAAGAGCAGAACATCATGATGTTATCTTACTCTTTAGTTATTTCAAAATACATTAAGATTATTATGTTGAAAGGTTATCTTTATAATAAGAATAATTTAGTTACATTACGCTGCATAAACTTTTTCATACATACATATTGACTTTCCGACAAATAATTAGATGTACGTATTTAATTTCTATAAAATAAAATAAAAAACTCGTATAAATATAAATAAATAGTAAATAATTTTAATAAATTGATTTATTAATTAATTCTTAATAAAACTAGATACTTACATTTAAACTGGTACGTTAACAATTTTTTCTGCTAGTGACTTTCACAGATATTTGCTTTAAAGTTAAAATAACAATTATTTATGCAAACATTTACGTAGAAACAGAATTTATGAACATGATAACAGATGTAACGTTGTAAACAAACTGAGCAGAGCTTCCAATCAGTTCATATTATAAACCATTTAATTTTAATTAATAAGAAAGGGATAGCTTTATATAATTTATCTTTGGGGAAACGAAACGGTCTGATTATGACGTATGATGTACATTTTTTCTCTTTTAAGCGATTTCACCAGGGTTTTACCAAATTGTATTATTAGATAAACAGGTTATGTTATATTTTTTATCAATGAAACCGTATTAAATACGTCTATGACGTTAAGGAACAGGTTTGCAAAAGGGAATTACGATGTTTTTGCGTCATTAAATTGTTAGTAATATTCTGGTGCGCTTCATCAGACCGGATCAAAATCTATATATCCAGGTTTGATCCCCACAATGTACTGTGTATTTCGATTTTAGAAATTCATATGTACATTTATCCGTTCTTCGTTCGCGAAGAAATTTAAAAATATGTATGGTGTCAACTTACCTGCACTGACTAAGGCCTAGTCACCCTTAATTTGGTTAGACTCCGTATCTCTTAGGGTCATATTTTTTACTTAAGTTTGACTAATATTGTAAATGCGACTGTTTAGATGGATGGATGAATGGATGGATATTTGAACGCCGAACAAAACGGCTGAACGGATTACGATGAAATTAGACATAAATATGTGCAGGTTGCATCACGACATTTTCCTTCACCGTAAGAACCTGCTTATATCTGAGAAGAAATTCAAAGATATGTGTGAAGTCAACCAACCCACACTTGGCCAGCTTGGTTGACTGTGGCCTAATCACCCCTAACTTAGGGTATGCTCCGAGCCCCTCGGTGGGGACGTACAGTGAGCTGATGATGAGACATAAATATAGAACATAGTCTGGAAAAAAGTTTTTTTGTAATTCTGCGCGGACGGAGTCGCGGGCAACAGCTAGCACATTTTATTGTTCTACTTAAATATTTTCATTCTTTTAGGTATTTTTTAAGTCACTAAAATTATACATACAAAAGGTCGACTTAAATTTGTCCGCTTTTGTAAATTAACATAATATCATTCATGAAAAACTTGTTGACAGCCCATTATATACTCTAGAAACATTTTTCTTAACCAATCAAGCATGGATTTTTATTTTACGTAAAAGAGACGTATTTTCTTTAACCTTGTCTTTGAAAAAAAAAATGAAAATGAAAAATAATTTATTGCTTAAACAAAAATGGTACATACTAATATTTGTGCCGGGACTTCCATTTAAGCATCCACAACGGGCTTGTCTTTGATATAAATTATACCTTTGTTGTTTAAGAACGTAAAGCATTTAACCATTTTTATACTTTGTTCGTTTCTACATATAAAAAAGGGGTCTTGACAGACAGACGGACGAACAAAAAAGTGATCCTATAAGGGTTCCCTTTTTTCCTTTCGAGGTCTTGACTCGAAAAATTAAATGTTTTTAAAAGTTCTACATATTTTTAAGTTAATTTAATTTAAATTAAATTTATATTTAATTATTTTAATTTTAACTTTAATTTTTTTTTATTTTAATTTAAAAGTTGCATTTTTAGGCCATGTCTTGCGCCCATAATGATTGGGCAAAATCGCAGACCGAAGACGGGTTGAAAGGAAAAGAAAGTCGTGGTTAAGAGACATTCGGGAATGGACCACTATTGCCAGCGTTGAACGACTTTTTCGCTTTGCACAGGACAGGGATGGATTCGCTGGGCTGACAGCCATCCTCCAGGAATGGAGAGGCATCAGAAGAAGAAGAAAAAGAATTCATTAACTTCAGTGTAATATAGTTTAGTTAACAACATACCATTGTGTAGCAAAAAGCAAATGTATTATATTAATTTGAATACTTTGCGAGCCTTGTTAAACTTGTGGACGACATTAAAATAAATGGGACACTTCAGGGACGACTTAATGAAAATGTATTGATCCTAAAATAAATTTTGAGTTACATATAAAGATTAGATTATTTTTTAAAACTTACAGAGTATTTTTATATAATATTAACTAGAGAATAAAGCGAATGAAGCGCCAATAGCCCAATGGTTAAAGGTACGGATTTCCGATCACGTGGTAGAGGGTTCGAATCCTGCTACGACTATTGCCGTAAACCATATCCTAGCACACGCATAGAGCTTAGTTGGAATGGTACAAGAAATATTAATAAATTAAGGAAACATTTGCTAATATTTTACAAAAAAAAATAGATATGCGAGTACGTCTGAAACTTGGACAGAATCATGAAACTTTTCACTCTTGTAACTTCATTTTGAATTATTTAGATATCTTTGTATAAAATAAACCTTGAAATTACTTCGATTTTTTGAAGCATCATCGTTTGTGTAACAAAATTTAAAAGAAAATTTATTGATGGCCTGGTCTAAGTTCTACTCAGTTTGCTCAAGTAATCAAGAATGTTTTTCGTGTTAACGGACAGACATTTTGCCGAAAACACGGGCTCATTTCTATATAGTGAAACACAAGTATTCCGTACAGCTGTTTGTGTTGTTAGTCAAAGTTACGGCTTTTGACGTTGTTGTTTACCTGTATACAACATTGTATCTTTTTTTGTATTTAACATTGTAATGACCGTTTACTTGTTCAAACAGTTTTATTTTTTAATTTTTTCTTTTATTTATCTACACGAACATTATAAATATTTTTATTTAACGAATAAATTATTTTACCATTAAACAGCGACATTTTCAAGGAAACATAGGCCATATCTTACTAATATTATAAAAGCGAATGTTTAGATGGATGGATGGATGTTTGTTTGAAGGTATCTCCGGAACACCTAAACGGACTTTGATGAAATTTTGGATACATGTATAACATAGTCTAAAAGAACACATAGGCTAACAAAAAGTAGCTGTCGCTCGCGACTTCGTCCGACCGAAATTAAAAAAAAACATAATTAATAGCCTCTGTGTTCTTCCAGACCGACTATGTTCTACTTCTTTGCTAAATAAGACTAGAATTTGTGAACTGACATGAGGTAATGCCGATGATTTACTCATAACCGACAAGTTTATACGGATTAATTTGCATTACCTTGAGATTCCACTGCGGAAACATTTGTATAAAACATCTTATCTGTTAGAGATGCCAATACTTTATGGACGCATGTTTTTGCAATGTAAACTCACTTATAAGTTGAACTACTAAGCAACGTATACGAAAAGAATATTAATCTTACAATTTAATCTTGCAGTTTTGATTAAATTTTGCTCGGAAACGTTTTCTTTGTTCTAAATGTAAATTTATAGTACTTGGTTTCAAGTTACGAAATGAAGTTTGAAATTAGCTCATTACTTTCGAGTTGCACTGCTAAACATATTTCGTCGTTTATTCTACTAATTTTGGGATTTAATCTTAAAATATTGAAGTTATTCATACGCTTTTTTACGTTACTCCTCCATTGGCCAGCGCCGGACGTAGCGCACGCACAGCCCACAACGGATTTTAATTTGCTTGTATGATTTAACACAGCGCTACGCCCTGCATCCGCGCTGTCTGCATCGCATCAAGACAAAGCAAATCCGTGTAATCCGTGCGTGCGGTGCGTCCGGAGCGGGCCAATGGACGCGTACCTTTAGTCTAGTTTGCAAGAGTTTATAAATGTATGTAGATGAGAATTTATATTGCAAGTATACTACATTGTTAACTTACAACAGTTGTGTTATTTGTTATTTTTCATCCCAGTTCAAAAAATAATTTCCATTTTTGGTAATGGTATATGCCCGTATGCATCGGATACCTTTTCAGTCAAAGCACCGACAAAATTTCCGAACCGCTGCGAATTAAGTTCTTCAAGAAGCGAGCGTATCACTATCTTAAAGGCCGGCGACGCATTGGCGGTTCCTCTGGTACTGCTGATGTACATGGGCGTCGATGAACAACTCGATCTTCCCGCTGCTTGTTTGCCTCCTTCTCTTATAAAAAAATCGGTACGACCGTTCCGGAGATTATTATCGCTTTGGAAAATTAAAACTTTTTCCTACTGTTCATTCTATTCTCAATGAACTAGAACAATTAATTTATATTTATAAAGTTTTTCAATAAACTGTTAAATTTAGGAAAGCGACACAAATCGTTTACGATCCGAGTGTAAATTAATAATCACAATTTCATTCAAACGCTTCGAAAGTTTGTCAAAGTTATGAACAACTTTAAAATTTAATAGAACTCTTGAGAGACGGGTTAATGAAAACAAATTGACCCTTGAAATTTTGTCCATGTAACTTTTGGTAGTAAGTGCTTGGTAGAAGTAGGAATTGTGTAATTAATATGTTTGTTAGAGATTGCGGTGTTCTATTGGTGATAGTACATCTTTCTTGCTTCTTCTAGATTTTTACACCCACGTATCCCCATCTGTTTCGGGTCTTTTGATTTCAGCCCTTCTTGAGTTATCTTTAGGAAAAAGTATAGTGTGGCAAACACAGCAAAACATAGCAAATACCACGAAACTTTTATTAGCAGGAATAGCTATTGTAATATACATAAATAGGATTTACTTAAATAAATTACGATTTTAATAAATTCAAAACTTTTTATAAAAAATAAATTCTAAAAATTTCCATAATTTTCTTTTAATTTCTAGAGCAAAACTTTTAAAATTAAAAATGTCACTATAAGATATAAAGTTACACGTTTCGAATTCTTCGTCGAATCTGAACCATTATCATCGATAACTTCCTTGCAACATTTGGTACCTATTTCCACTACTTTCGGATAAAAATCTGTCCAGAATTCGAAAGCTTTATAATTAACATTTGCAGTCGTACTCATTGTGAAATTCTGTCTATCTATAATAAAAAATCCAGGTTTCTCTATTTCAAATGCGTCCCATTGAATAATAACACCAGAGTTCGTTGGATTAGAATACCATGCAAAATTGCTCCACATTTTCATAATGACATCTGATATACTTTTATCTCTGTAGTCCCATTTCGATAAATCTTCAGGTAATGCTAAATGAGGTAAACCAAAGGCAAAGATTAAATCAAAATTGTGCGGAACTGCAATCCAATCTGGTATACCTTCATTTGCTATATCAGAAAAAGGTTTTAAATCAAATCTATAAAGGTACACTGGAGCGTGCTTACTTATAAATTGTGCCAATTGATATGTTGTTGCTCCATGAACTTTATCAGTATAAAAATCTAAAAAGAGCTTCCTTAGAACAGTTTCATTAGATGTAGGAGGTATTGGTTTGTAAAAGAAAGCTACTGCATCTTGAATATGATGTTGATTTGTAAAACACGAGCTATTATCAACGGTGATATCAGAGAGAATTATTTCTTCACGCATAATATCAAATTCACGTTGACTAATTCCTGAATCAGAATTATCTTTTTCCAATAAAAGAGCATCTTCCATATTTGTAAATCCCGTTAAAACAGGAACTGGTGTGAAAATTTCATCTTTAAATAACCGACTTGGTAAATCTGGTAAAAAAGGTTGCGATATATTATTAAAATTCATATCAACTATTGGCTTCCAAGCTGATATCGGTTCTCCAATATCAAGAAGTGCTTGATGATTCACTCTTCTTAGACAATCTAGAAGTTGGAATGTTGGTTTCCTAAAGCAACTAAAAGCGTTAGCTACTTTATCTACCGTTGTTATTTCTTTCCTAGCAATGTTCACAGTTTCTGGTGACAGCACATTACCACTCATGGCTATCGCTTTTTGGAATAATCCAGAAGAATATGATGATAATAAATGTAAGCCCACACTAACAGCACCAGCATCGTGACCGAATATACAAACATTTT